AACATCGAAAATTTTATCAAAACTTCAAATATTGTTTTCTCAAAAACTAAAAGTTATTTTTCAAAACGGGTTGGTTCATTGGAAAGAGGACACTCTTATTAACACTTTGGGAAATTTTCACACTCATATTCCAAGAAATGAATTTTATTTTATTTACCTATTTTCAGGTCACACCTATTATTTTGTCAGCATTAAACTTACCGCTTTTAATAATGTTTTGAAAATCAGCAGGTGATAAAGCATTAAAATTAGTCGATTTTACACCATCTTTAGCAAAAGATCGAACTTCATGCAAAACATCTCTCCCATGATGAATTTCAAATGCTCCACCATTTTTTAAAATTCCCCACGTTGGATATTTCGAAACATGTAAACTGTGGCATAAAGACGAGAATTGGCCACAATGAACCATTCCTACGTTTATATTTGGAATTGAAATCGAAAGTCTTTTAATTTGTAGGTTTAAATCAACAGCGGATCCAACATAAAAACAAATAAGCCATGGATTTTCATCACCATTTCGAAGTTTTTCCCGAATCGTTTTAAATTTTTCCGTTGTTATTTGTGTGGGATTTGGTAAATATTCTAAGATGTTAGAAATAATCTCTTTCGTATCTGATCCATCGATCGGATGAGCTTGACCATTTTCATAAAATAAAATACTCGAGGATTTGTGAGATTCGCAAAGATTTGAGTTTTTTAAATCACCAACAGGCATTATTCCTTCCTTAAAAATAAACAGTATCATTATTTATGATACTTTGTCCACAACTACTATTGAAATTGATCCTATAAAATTATTTTTTTAAATAAATTTTTGAATGAAGTTTAAACGTCAATGTGACACAAATTCAATGTTACCAACTTAATGTTTCAACTATAACCAGCTTCACAACAATATGTCAAAATTAAATATCAATTTTATGAAACGTTTTTTTACGAAAATTAATTAATTTATGCTTAAATCATATAAAAAAAGGAATTTGTTTAAATTTTTTTAATATCAAATCCTTAGAAAGTCCTAAAAAAATTAAATTAAAGTTTTGTGAAATTTTGACATTTCAAATCATTATTAGTCTGTCAAGTTGATTTCCAGTGAATAATGATTATTATAAACTATCTCTTTGTTTTAGAAAACTCGTTTATAAGGTAGTCATGGACAAATTAATTTATTTTGGAATTAAAAGTTAGTGATTAATTTTACCATTGCTGCAGACACCTTAATCTTTAAAATATCTTCATGGCATATATCATTACAAGAACATAAAAACAACAACACCCCATCATTAAACCTTTTCTCCTCTTTCCAATTATCACCCATTATGTCTTCTATTTCAACATTAAGCTTAGAGATTATGTATTCTTGCATAACATCCAACGTCCTATCCAATTGGTAATGTTCCCCATCATCAATGTGCGCTTCTTTTTCATAAAATATTAATGTTGGATAAGCCATTATGCCCATTTTGTTACAAAGAGACCAATCTTCAGCACAATTAACAGCTGCTAATTGAACTATTCCTTCCATTTCTTGAGATAATTTTCTCCAAGTTGGTGCCAAATCGTGGCAATGATGACATTGAGGTGAATAAAAATTAATAAACCACGGTTTATTATCGCCGTGGACGTTAAAATCTATATTTAAAAAAAAATTATTGTTGTAGGTTGGGTTGCCTAAATTATTAAATATAATAATTTGGTGAATTTAATCAAATTAAAAATAAATACAAAACAATAATAATATAATTACACACCATAATCAGCTTTGGTTAAAGTAATAATTAAAGGATCTTCATCATAAAGCCCAAAATCGTCTTGATAATACGAATAACTATGATAAGTTGGTCTTTTAAAATTGTGTTCATCATCTCCATAAAGATCATAATGTTTTCTATCTTCAGGATTTTTTAAAACTTCGTAAGCTCGAGCAATTTTAGAAAACTTGTTATCAGCTTCTGGATCATCCTAAAAATGCAAACTTTTTATTAAAAATCTCTAAAAATAATTTTAATTCCTTTCAAACCTGATTTTTATCCGGATGCAATTTTAGAGCTAAACTTTTAAACGCTTTTCTAATATCTTTATCAGAAGCATCCCTGGATACTCCTAAAAGTTTGTAATAATCTTCAGCACCAAGCGATAACGTTATCAAAAAACTTAAAACCAAAACTATCGTAATTAAATTTCTTTTAATGAATCTCATTATTTCAATTTAAATCAACTTTTAATTCATCTAATTATATTTAATTTCATTTAATTAAGTACATTTTTAATTAATATAACGAACTCCAACACCACAACAGTTAACGAGTAGGCGATAAAGACTAAAATCCGGCGAGTCCTACAACGCATGTGGAAGACGTGGACCAAAACACCAATGAGAGAAGAGAATGTGTTGTTAAAGACGAAACCTTGAAGAAGTATGGTTTATTTTAAACCTACGCTTCATATTTTATAGATTAGATTAAGTTACGTTCTATTTATTCATGTTTTATAACTATTTTAATGTGAATTTAAAAAATGTTAAAATACACCAAAGATATTAACAGCCAACTTTATAATATCATTTATAGATGGCCTATTTTTATAATTAATGATAAATTTAATAGAAGAAAATAAAAAATCATTGTGATGTTATAGAAAGTATTAAAAAAATTCTTGTGAAAAGAATCTAAAACAAAATAGTACCCTTTTTTAATTTAGTTAAGGAATGTGTGGTGGGTTGAGGAGATTATTTATAGATATTGTGCATCCTTTGTTATTATTAATTTCAATATATTTAATAATTGCCCTTAGAATATTAAAGCCATTTAAGACGTCATTAATATTAGACTTGCAGAGTATAATTAACAGGGCACGGAACTTTTGTAACAAAACGATTTCCCCCCTCCACTCGTACTCAGAGAAAATCTTAATTAAAAGAACACCATACTGTTCAGTGGGAAATTAAAATTTCAAGTTAGACAAAAATTGTTTTAACAAAAATTGTTCCTGAAACAATTCTAAACCAACTTTGTCAACATTTTTTTTTGATTTAATTAGTAATTAAGGAGATAACCTCAAAATAATAATTTTTCCATTTTTATAAATAATTATACTTAGACGCTTAATTAATACAGATGTAAAATTTTGTTATTAAGATAATTGATTCAACACTGTTCCTGAAGTAATTCTAAACAAATATTGTTAATAAAAATTTTTGATTTGATCAATAATTAAGAACATAACCTCAAAAAAAATTTATATATATATTTTTATATATTTTTTATTGAGAAAATCGTTTTAGAATATAATTTAGAACAACTTTTGTATGAAATTTTCTACTGAGAACGAGTGGAGGGGGAAAATCGTTTTGTTACAAAAGTTCCGTGCCCTAATAATTAAATAATAACAAAGGCGTGGTTGAGGAGACAAAAAAGAAGGAGTGATGTGGTCAACGAGGTTAATAAAAAAATTGTATGCGACTATTAATTAATTATATTAATGTAATGTTTGGAACGAATGAAGAGAGAGTGTTGAAGAAAACGAGTTCTGCATGTTGTAGTTGACGTATAAGACAGTCAGTCTTCTGGTAGTAGTAAGTAGTCTTTCACAAGCAGTAAGTAGTTTTCTGCAAGAAATATTTAGTTTTCTATCAATCTGTGTAGCTTGTCTGATCAATCCTCAGATAATTTTCGGACATCTTTTTCGGGCACATTTTGGCTCTAAGTAATTAAGTGCCAAACTAACATGATCAGAACTTCCCATGTTCAGTTGGGCAACTTTTTGAATTCAATTAAGTATCAAGTCCAATCAAAGCTTCAACTCTATGTGGTCATAATAACCACGATAGGATAAAATGTTCAAAGAAGTTATTAAGTTTGATTTTTGGTCGAAAAAGTATTCCAAATTACTTGAACAGACTTGACATTCATATTCTTTACAGCTACTTTAGGTCTAAGGAGATGAGTGACCAAAAATCATTTACATTAACCAAGTACGTAATGCCGTTAATTCTGCTTTGCAAAAATTGGTCCATAATGCATCAAAATTTTACAAAAATTATTGAAGTTTCGATAATCTCGTAAATGGCGCATAGTTTTGAACACAACGATGGTTTTGGGGTTGTTTGTGTAAATTTTGCCTATAATATTGCCCCTGTAAAGCGAGCCCCCAACCACAAAGCCAGAACGTGGTGTTCAATATGCTGTTTCAGAACTTCAAACACTCTATTAATTTGATAAGGTTGTACTGTGTCGTTTTTGAACATCAAAATCAGATTGATATCAATTTAGTCTTGTGTAAGTAGTTTTCATCAGATAACATCTAATTCCTAATTAGCTGTTGTATCTAGTCTTCTGCCAGCAATATGTAGCCTTCTGTAGTTAATAGCAAGCAGTATCTAGTCATGTACCAATAGTTTCTAGTCTTTTGCCAACAGTATCTAGACTTTTACAAACAGTAAGTAGTTTTGTGGTAAGCAGAAATTAGTTTTCTATGAGTAATATCTAATTTTATCTTCTGCCAACAATAACCTTCTGCATATTCTAATAATAGCCCACCAGTATCTACCAGTATCTAGTCTTCTCAGTTAGCTTATCTTAATTCTACTCATCTTTCTGGAATTTTACTCATTTTTTGAGTATCTGGTTCTTGCTAAAATTTCAAAATTCTGGTTGCTCCTTTGCCTAAAACTATAACACATAAATAATTGATATTTAAGGATTATTAGAAATTGTTATTTATTAGAATAAAACAATAAATTATGTTTCCACCCTTGAAAAGAAAAAAGTAACTAAGTGGACCAAGGAAATCGTTTTCAAAACGTCTTAAATAAAACGAAGACTCGGTTCGAGCATGTTTGAAAACCGACCAACCAAAACTACATTAGTTACTGTCATGATTGTCACATAAAGTTCGTACAAGAAGGTTGTGAGTTAAAATTGAGGCACGCAAGAAATGTCTGGTGCTACAATCAATTTTTAACCTCAACCTTCGAATCGGTTAATCACAGGATTTTTCGTAACGGGAAAAAAATGACGAATTCGTCTGTCAACGTGTAAAGTTATAATTTCCGAGTCTTTGTCGACGACGACGTCGCCGCCGTTGTCGACGTCAAAAAACAAAAACGACGCTCGTAGGCAGCCCGCAGCGTCGCTAAAGACTTTAATTTTAGCCTCGCGGTACCGCTGGCAAGTAGTCAGTCCACCGTTCGAAACCACACGGTTTAGACCTTTAAGAAAACATAACAGACGGTAAAAATTCGGCCCCCCAATTAAAGATAAAATAAAATTAATACAACAATATCATTAAAACGAACTAAGTAGTTGAACGTGTTTAAGTGTCGTAACCGCGGCCCCTCTTTTGAGAAAACATGGCGGACACCGAGACCGTCGAAGAGACGTTCGAAGAAACGGAAACCGAAGTTAGGCGGAAGATCGTCCGCAAAAGTCTTCGGATCCAAGAAGTAAGTTTGAAAAACGTGTCGATTTGCATAACGCCCGTGACGGCGAGGCATAAAAATAGATCTTCGAGTGCGCCTTGGCGCCTCAGAAAAACCTCTACGTTTAAGAAAAACAACTATACGCAACTTGAAACTAATCAAAATTTTATTTTGACGCATTTATTACGTCACAGCAAATCTTTTATCATTTTACATAGTCAAAAAAAGTTACTAAATGTATTTGAGAACATTTTTGTTGGCACAATAAGTATATTTTCTTTGATTAAGATGTATAAAATTATAGTAAATATATGGCTTTAGTTATTCTGGAAGGTTGCCCAAAGTTGTTTTGACGTTGAATGTATCAATTTCTTTGTTATTTTCGTTAAATTTTTATTGGTTTCTTATTTTTCAATGTGGAATGTTTTTCTTTGGACAAATATCAAAACCAGAAAATAAAAAAGATATGGAATCTTGTATGCAACGAAATACAAAAAAAAAAACAAGGAAAAAAACGCGTCTGGTGCAACAGACGGGAACGTGTTCAGTCATTTGTACGTTTGCCAAAAAATTCAGGAGCTTTTTACTTGAAGCAAGTGGTGAAGTTAATGTCTTTGAAGTTAAAGAATTTTTCTTTACCAGTAAAACCTCGATACAACAAGATTCGTTAGAACGAACCTCGGATAAAATATTTTTAAGTCATACAAGACATTAGATTGTTGTATATTTTTATTGAACTAAAAGTGGAACTAACACTAGAGCCAGAACTAGAAACATTCGGGTTTAGCCGCACGTCTTTCAAGACGGCTAAACCCGAATGATTCTAGTTCTAGGTCTTGTGTTAATTCTAGTTTTGCACTAGCACTATCACTAGAACTAACACAAGACTTAGAACTATCACTAGAACTAACACAAGACCTAGAACTAGATTCGTTCGGGTTTAGCCGTTTTGAGAGACGTGCGGCTAAATCCGAATGATTCTAGTTCTCGGTCTAGTGTTAGTTCTAGCTTTGCACTAGCACTATCACTAGAACTAACACAAGACCTAGAACTAGATTCGTTCGGGTTTAGCCGTCTTGAGAGACGTGCGGCTAAATCCAAACGATTCTAGTTCTCGGTCTAGTGTTAGTTCTAGTTATAGTGCTAGTACAAAACTAGAACTAACACTAGAGCCAGAACTAGAAACATTCGGGTTTAGCCGCACGCCTTTCAAGACGGCTAACCCCGAATGATTCTAGTTCTGGGTCTTGTGTTAATTCTAGTTTTACACTAGCACTATCACTAGAACTAACACAAGACTTAGAACTATCGCTAGAACTAACACAAGACGTAGAACTAGATTCGTTCGGGTTTAGCCGTCTTGAGAGACGTGCGGCTAAATCCGAACGATTCTAGTTCTCGGTCTTGTGTTAGTTCTAGGTCTTGTGTTAGTTCTAGTGATAGTGCTAGTGTAAAACTAGAACTAACACTAGACCTAGAACTAGAAACATTCGGATTTAGCCGCACGTCTCTCAAGACGGCTAAACCCGAATGATTCTAGTTCTAGGTCTTGTGTTAGTTCTAGTGATAGTGCTAGTGTAAAACTAGAACTAACACTAGACCGAGAACTAGAAACATTCGGATTTAGCCGCACGTCTCTCAAGACGGCTAAACCCGAATGATTCTAGTTCTAGGTCTAGTGTTAGTTCTAGTTTTGCACTAGCACTATCACTAGAACTAACACAAGACCTAGAACTAGATTCGTTCGGGTTTAGCCGTCTTGAGAGACGTGCGGCTAAATCCGAACGATTCTAGTTCTCGGTCTAGTCTTAGTTCTAGTTTTGCACTAGCACTATCACTAGAACTAACACAAGACCTAGAACTAACACAAGACCTAGAACTAGATTCGTTCGGGTTTAGCCGTCTTGAGAGACGTGCGGCTAAATCCGAACGATTCTAGTTCTCGGTCTAGTGTTAGTTCTAGTTTTGCACTAGCACTATCACTAGAACTAACACAAGATCTAGAATCATTCGAGTTTAGCCGTCTTAAGAGACTCACGGCTAAACCCGAATGTTTCTAGTTTTAGTTGTTATTCAGTGTTAGGTTGTTGTGTATTTTTCATTGAATTAAAACTAGAACTAGAAAGTTTCGGGTTTACTCGTGCGTCCTCAGACGCAATCTAACTCTTTAGATGAGTTTTAATTGTTATTCAGAATTAGGTTAACTAGATATGATAAAATTACTTGATAATGTGACGTTTTTTGAAACGATCAATTCAATTCAATTCAATTCAAGTCAACAGTTTCAACGGAGAAACGTCATCCAAACAATCCCAATTACGTTTATAAATAAATTTTTTTGGGTTTAAAGTATATTCTAAATTAAAACCAGTTCACTTCTGTGTACATTACTCTGTTATGTTACACAAATTGAATTCGACCTTCCTATTTATTCCAACAGATTGCGCAGGAAGGAAAAAAGACGCACTCGAGAGGAGAGAAACGAAACGTCACGTTTTATTTTTGGCCTCATCCGACCACCGACGTCTTCAAAATCCAGTGTACTTGAGAAATAAACCTCTCTTATTTTCTTTATTTTTCATTCAAAAAAAGGATTGAAAGAAATTTGTGTTAAAATTTTAAGTGAATTTCTTTTGCATTTCTGGTCACGTTTAGAATCCTAACGCAGGTGTTTTTGGCACCTTTCCATTCGCCTTAATTACGCCGGTTAGAGACGTGTAATTATCGTGTACCTGTCATTTTGAACGACCAAAGCGAGCGGTCCATCAAATTCTTGGATTTTAACTAGTTTCTTAACTGTTTCTTAACGCTTTAATTTCCATCGCAGCGTAGAATGGTTTTTACTTGGTTAACCAAACGTAAATATTGCGTGATGTTAGTTTAAAAAGAAAATTTGCTTTCTTCTCTTTGTATGTTGTAGATTGTTTTATGGGTTAACCTTTTTGTATGATTCCCAAAATAACATAGTTTCGGTCGTTAAACGAGAGAAGACGTCGAACGCGAGCTGGGTTTTAAGAAATTAACGACGCGGTTAAAACGTCCTAATTTTTTTTCTTTTTCGACGACGTCCCGCCGAATTCATCAAACCGTGATCTATTTCCGACGATGCGGAAGTTTGCTGTCACCCACACGAACGCCCCGAAATGACGAACTCCATCCTAAATTATAACAAAAAGAAAACACCTTTATAATAAATTAAAAGAAAATAACTTAGCTGGGTGGTGTATTTCTGAAAATGAAAACCCGGAAACGTCCGAAATCGACGAAACGGCACAGGCTGTTTACAAAATCTTGAAACTGTTTGTTTGGGTGAAACCCAAAATCAACCACGACGAAGAAAACAAAGTCGCAAAACATGGTGAATAAACATTTTAACGTAGCGAGGTTCAATAATGTGAGAAAAAAACCTTGATGGTAGATTTGGCAAACGTTGTTTTCAAAGGGAGAAGAAAACGTTGATTTATTGATAGTAATTTTGGAAACAGCTGTGAAGGCAAATTTCCAAAAAGAAAATAAAGTAAATGATACAATTTTTTGATGGAAAATAATTTATGGCGTCGTTCTAAACTTGCGCATTAATCGCGGATTTTATCTTCTGTCGAATTACAAATTACCCAGAGAGCCACCTAGGTTCCGGGTTCGTCCCGTACAAATTGCCTGTTTAAACGGACTCATTTGTACACGCTGTCCAGAAGCAAAAACAGATTTGGCTCCCCCGTAACTAAATACGAGCTACTCTATTAATTTTCTATAGTTAGCGTCTCCTCTTTCTATTCTGCCACACACAAGATAATTCATCTAACATTATTCTTAACAACTCTAAAAAACAAACTACCAAATTTTAATTTTCTTAAGTAAATATTTAAATATATCTAAAGGTAAAGCTGCGTTGATGAGTCGTAAATAGAAACGTTTCTGTTAGTAATCCCCGACATCATTTACCACGGCCCGAAACTGTTGATCTCTCGTAAAAGGGGATAATTCCTAGAGCATCTGGTACGTCCGTCAAAATCGTAGCATATACTCCCGAAAATTTAATAATAAATCCCTCCTTCGCACCGTAAACGTCTTCTAATTGGGTTAACGCAGGAAAATTGAAAATTATTTTTAAAACCAGGACGCCCAGCTCGGCTGATCGTAAATTTTTAAATCAAAATGACCACCAAAAATATTCCCTTCCTTTTTTAGCTCGAAAGTTACAATAAATTTGACGTTTGATAAAACTAAGGTTATACAAAAAAAGTTTTCTCCAAAACTGTTTGCATTGAAGTTTTGAAGCTTTTTGAGGTTCTAAAAGAACGTATGAAGTTAACTTATACAAAGTTATAAGCTTCCACAGCGACTATATCATTTAATATAAGTTTTTAAAGACGCTTACTTAATTTGACGTTTGTCAAAACTAAGGTTATGCAAAAAAAGTTTTCTCCAAAACTGTTTGCATTGAAGTTTTGAAGCTTTTTGAGGTTCTAAAAGAACGTATGAAGTTAACTTATACAAAGTTATAAGCTTCCACAGCGACTATATCATTTAATCTAAGTTTTTAAAGACTCTTACTTAATTTGACGTTTGTCAAAACTAAGGTTATGCAAAAAAAGTTTTCTCCAAAACTGTTTGCATTGAAGTTTTGAAGCCTTTTGATGTTCTAAAAGAACGTATAAAGTTAACTTATACAAAGTTATAAGCTTCCACAGCGACTATATCATTTAATATAAGTTTTTAAAGACGCTTACTTAATTTGACGTTTGTCAAAACTAAGGTTATGCAAAAAAAGTTTTCTCCAAAACTGTTTGCATTGAAGTTTTGAAGCTTTTTGAGGTTCTAAAAGAACGTATGAAGTTAACTTATACAAAGTTATAAGCTTCCACAGCGACTATATCATTTAATATAAGTTTTTAAAGACCGCTTACTTAATTTGACGTTTGTCAAAACTAAGGTTATGCAAAAAAAGTTTTCTCCAAAACGGTTAAGAATTAAGAAATGCAACTTTTAGAGGTTGTAAAGTAACGTTTGAGGTTTGGTTAAGT